ATTCACGTTGGACTCGTTCCTGGCATCACCCTTCCGCTGTACTTTTAACGTATGCATCTTATTAAACCCATGTTTTCTTTTTTATATTTTATTTTATTGTTTAAAGTATTACAGATAGTAGTATATATGTCTCCTTTTTTCCCCCCATCGACCTTCCCCTGGCCTCCCCTACCCCCCAGCACATGCCCTCACCCCCCGTCCCATTGTCTTGTGTCCATTGGTTATGCTTATATGCATGCATACAAGTCCTTCAGTTGATCTCTTACCTCCCCCCCGCCCCAACATTTACAGGGAACTCATACAACTCAACAAAAGAAAAATAAACAATCCAATAAAAAAAATGGGCAAATAGAATCTTTTCGAAAGAAGACACTCAGAAAGCCAAGAGACACATGAAAACATGCTCAAAGTCACTAATCATCCGAGAGATGCAAATCAAAACGACAATGAGGTACCACCTCACACCTGTCAGAATGGCTATCATCAACAAATCAACAACAACAAGTGCTGGTGAGGATGCGGAGAAAAAGGAACCCTCGGGCACTGCTGGTGGGAATGCAGACTGGTGCAGCCACTGTGGAAAACAGTATGGCGTTTCCTCAAAAATTTAAAAATGGAACTGCCATTTGACCCATGTTTTCTTATAAGCCGCTTTAAATCTTTCCGGAAGGCAGGTGGAATGAATTCACGGACTGGCACAGTTCCAGGCCCCTGACTACCGTTTGCCCCACTTACGGTGTCACTGTCCCTTTCTCCAGAGGAGGAAGCCGAAGTTCAGGGAGATGCAACAAACAAGCCCGAGTCAGGGCCGCTGCCGACAGGCGGCAGCTCTGCGTTCCCACTCTGGCCCAATAGGAAGCACCTGGACGCGGTTCTTGTGGCAGGTGGGCCAGCCCTGTGCTGAGAGGGAACAGAGGGGAGATGCATTGTCGGACTGGTAGGAGCCCGAGTCTCTCCACCAGGCATCATGGGGATTTGCCCAGCCTGCTCCGGGGCAGCCAAACCCTGGTGGGGAGGCTCCTGCCTGCTCTGTCCACTGTGCCCCTGGTTAACGGGCCATGAAGCTTCTGGAGAGCAGAGCCAGGCAGGGACTCTCTCTGGAGCAGCGACTGCTCCGTGGGATGTGCAGGGGCTGCAAAGGCCGGTGCCTGCCTCGCCGCCAGGGTGAGTTCCTAAGGCAGGGGCTGTGGGCCCCCCTGGCTGGCACTCCAGGCAGACTAGTTCCTCGGAGGCTCCAGGGAAGACGCACTCCTCCGGGGAAGTTAGGATGGATCCCACAGAGACAGCGGCTTTCCCAGAGAACGAAGGCAACGGAAACGATTCGTGCTCGTTTTAAAAAGCAAAGGAAGAAGAGCCCATGGATTAAGACCCTAGCTGTGCGTGTGCTTTAAAAATACATACACATACATGTAGACACACACACCACAGACCCCATATGGAGATACCCTTTTTTTTTCCACCCCCACCAGCCCCTCCAAATATGGTGTCCAACCCAACCTGGAAGGGAACACCAAAGACCAGATACTTAACAGCCACTTAGGCAGCTCTTCGGCACCATGGACGGGGGAGGCGCGAAGTGAGCCAGGTAATGGGGCGGGCAAGGCCACCCACACCCAGATTCCATCAGCCCAACCCTCTGCAGCTGGTCCCTGGGGAATGTGGCTTTCACCACCCTCCTTGCCCTGAAATCCATCATGCAATATGGGTCCTTGGTTTCCCAGCCACCACTCACAGTGGACAATAACCCTTCCTCGTTGGGGCCTATGAACCTCTCCATTCCTTTTAAAACGCTTATTGGAAGAGGGCAGCCCTGAGAGTCAGAAGGAGCTAGCGTGCCTGGAGGAAGGGGCTTTGTCCTGGAAGGAGGACTAACAGACAGTCCCTCGGGTGGTGACGGGCCCCGGTGAAGTGGTCCCTGGGAGGAAGCTGGGCAGCCCAAGGAGGCTGGGCATCGGGGCTGGGCCTTCAAGGGAATGGGGGGCCATGGGTGGGATGATGGAAGGTGCTGAGGAAAGGGGGAAGGCCTGGGTCCTCCTGGGGTCACTGAGGAACACCTATCCCCCCCCCCCTCACTCTCCCGTCTCCTCTAGCCGCAGGTGTGAAGGCCCCTGGACCCTAACCTTGCCAGCTCTGCGTCCACCCTTCCTTCGTCATTCAAACGTCTTGGGTAGAGCCATGGGTTAGCACCCTTAACCCCGCAATCCTTACGGGACACTGGGTGGTTTGGGAACAAAGCTGACCTTTGGCGGTCTTGTGGAGGGTCATAGTTAAAGGCTTTGGAGTCCAAAATGTCACTTCAGAGACCAGCTGCCTCTTCCTAGCTGTGATGCGAGCTTCGGTTTCCCCATGAAAAACGTGGCACTAATGATGCCTATTCATCAGGGAGGTTGTGAGGAGTGAATGAAATAATGGACCAAGGCATTTAACCGAAGCCTGGCAAGTCCTCTCTCAGTAGCAGCCAATTGCACCGGCTCCGGGGAAGGTGTCAGGCTTGCCGTCTAACAGGACCATGGCGCCACCTTGTGGTTGCTGTCGCTCAGGACAGCTGGTTAATCTTACTCAAATCCTGACGCTTTTTCAAATGCCTACGAGCAGGTGTTGCTCTCATGTAAAGCCTGTAATGGTAAGTTCATGTTGGTACTGTATCTAGCCGGGCATCTTGATAAATCCTTTATTTTTTTAAATTTATTTGTATTGTTGAAAGTATTACAGATGTCCCCTTGGTTGGTTTTTTCCCCCCACTAACCCCCTCCACCCCGCCCCTACCCCTATCTTGATAAATCTTAGAAAGAGATGCTAGAGAAGTATCATTTGAGAGGACTCTCCCATCAAAGAGATCCTCTTCTAAATCTACCATCATTGCCCTTAAACCCCAGATGTTCCCAGCTTTAGGGGTGAACAGGAAACACGGTTTTGTTGGCTTTGGTTTCCTGTTGTACCCCTAATCACCACCTGTTCCAAAATGGCAAACCCCAATTCCCTGTCCCTTTCCTGCTTCATCCTGCTCCTTAGCACTACCAATCTCCATGTGTGGCTCGTTTTCTATCCGGCCTTATTGGAATGGAATCTCCATGAGGGCAGGGATGTCAGTATTTCTTTATTGCTCTATCTTCAGCATGTTAAACAGTGCCTGGCTCACAGCAGCTGCCCAATTGTTTGTTGAGTGAAAGAAGGAAAGATGAAGGTGGAGTCTGAGGTGGGGAAGTACAGCTCTCTCAGCATGCCACAGATTTCAAAATGAAAACTTACTTCCTAAGAGAGAAAAGGAGTTTCCTGAAGAAAGGGCTGGTTTCGTGAGTGTGCACCAGTGCCATCACACTGGCAGGCCCCACACGTAGAAGGCCTTGGCGTTCAGCAGGGCCGGGCCCTTGGGATTGATTGTTCCACAGTTACGGTCTGGGAATTCTTAATAACTGTATCTTTGAATTTGTGTTTTGTAAGTCAAGTCCAGTGAACAATAGTAGTGCCTGAGTGGGAACTTAAGACCTCAGTTCATGCCTGGCCTTGCCTCCCCCCACCAGGCCCCCCACTTGGTGCACCAGCCTCCTCTTCCTGTCTGTACCCCATGACCACTGCCACACCCTGCTCCCAGCAGGGGCCTGGGCATGGGCAACAATCAGGGTTGAGCACCCATGCCCCGAAGCATCTCAGAGCAGGGCATGGCAGCAGCTGCCCCCCCAGTGCCTTTCCTCACTCCTGGGGCTGACAGACCCCTGGCATGGCTGGTGGGCAGCTAGCTGGAGGCCCTGTCTTGGCAGGTCGATCCAGGTACCCTGATCCAGGAGTAAAGTACCAGCTAGGAGGTGTAAGGATCCTCATGGGAGACCTGTTTGCCGTGGGCTGGGACAGTCAGTGGGCCTGAGGGAGAGCGAGATTCCTGGCTCCACCTCTCCAGCCTGGCAGTGATAAGTCTGGTGGCTGGAGGGAGGGTGTTCCCAGGTAAGCACCAGGGTCAGGGGTCCCCAGGGGCCTGTCACAGGGATCTATCTGTGTGCTTCTCTTCTGGCCAGCTTGAGGCACCCTCCCGGATGAGCCACAACATACGAATTACATAATTTCAGTGATTCTCCACATGAGCTAAATGTGCCTTTTGCATTTAAAACTGACATCACACAACATAAAAGATGAATAGTAAAATGCATGCTAATAATCCAAAATTTTGTTTTTTCTTTACTGAGAACATTAAGTCGCAAACACTACCACAATAAATAAAGACCTTGAAAGAAACGATAAGGCTGTCCATGTACCTTTAATGCTACTTGTTCCCTGCTTTTTGAACAAGGCGCCCACATTTTTATTTTGCACTGGGCCCTGCAAATTATACTCAACATTTGTATTGAAGGGGTCAGAAGGATTAATCTGTGGGTATTCCATGAAATCATGGTTATCAGTCTGCTTGTGTTCGGATAATATCAATTGTCTTTTTGGAACTACATTACCAACTGGGCAGTAAACCTGTAATAAAATAACTAATAAAGGAGCTCTATTTTCCCATTATTAACCCTTCACAACTTGGTCTTATTTCATTAAACTAAAAGGATAGCACATGAAAAACGTGATAGGCACAGTAAGGACTGCTAATTCATATTAAAGATCAGACTTAAAAAATAACCCATAAATTTCCATCAAGGGTTGGGTCTATTCCAACAAATTTTAGCTTAGATCATGTGCCGAGCCCGCACGGCCATGGGTGAACCTGAGAGGGGGCTGTGAAGGATTAGAAAAGACAGACAAAAGAAGAAAGCTGGGCGCTAGGTGGGACACTGCTATCCCTGGCCTCTACCTACTCCATTCAATAGTACCCTCCCACCCCGCAATCATTATCATTTAAAATGTTTCCAGACATGGCAAATGTCCCCTGGGGGGCAAAATAGTCCCCAGTTAAGAGCCACTGGTACAGATGGATTAATGGGGGGGGGGGGGGGAGTGAAGTGCCACTGCAGCCCCTGTGAGCATCAGTGCCTATGAATCATAAACCCAACAAATGCAAGAGACACAAATACAGGAAAACTAAAGAATTCGTTTACTTAGTGAGAAACAGATGAGCCCATGACGGCCGGCTTATATACAGTTAGGTAGAGTAAAAAGGAAAAAAAAGAATATCGACATCACAGTGATGGATTTTCACAAAAGGTGACAGATTTTGCACTAAGAGCAATGGGATATCAATAAGTGTTATCTATAAGCAAGATGTCATAATATCAGTGACCAGTTTGGATCCAATTCGGTTTTCTAAGCTCTAGAATATTTAAAACCTCAAACTTGAAGTTGTAAATCTAGACATGACAACTGTAAGCACACCACTCAGTCGTGTAAAACGTCTCAGTAAGTGGATACATATGTTTTTCCTGATATTATTTTCCTCCAACATTTAGAATGTAATGTTCCAGTAGTAATCACACATGGGATTAAAACCCCAACCAAGAAAGTATCATTCTTTCTATAAAGTGTTCTTTTAAAAAAGAAAAAAAATGAAAGGTGTGGACGTTTTGTTCAATTATTGCTGAAGGACAGCAAAGGCAATTCCAAAATATCACTCTTACTGTACAGAAAGGCACGGCTCATGGAACCAAGTATATCAAGCTGCAGCAGTTGAACATCAATCAGTCCTTCGGGGGCTGGCCATGTCAGATCCCGCACACAGCGCTGGGCCCTGCCGGCTAGCGCATGCCCAGGATCTGTCTGCTTTTCAGCTGGTACGTTTGCTCAATGTCCGCCAGGGCTTGCGCGCGCAGCTGGGCAGCATGGAGCCTCTTCTTCAGGTCTTTGCACTTGGCTTTGGAGGAGAGCTGGCTCTCAGAGTTCTCACTCCCCCGGACACTCTCCTTACTCTCTCCACTGAAATGAACTTTCTTCTTAAGTATTGAGGATGGAAGAGCTAAAAGTTCTTTAGGAAGAAAAAGGGTTTTGAGTTATTTGAACAGGTTTGTCACACTTAGCAAAAATACACCCTCTTTCAGTTCATTTGAAATCTGGAACCTATCTTAGTATCTCCGGGAGGTTGGGAGCTTGAGGGTGATAAGAAATCAATCAATCTTTTAAGCCACAGCACTGAAAAAATAATCCTGGAATGTGCCAAATATCAAGGAACATAGGTTTTATTCCCTTAACAATCAACTTTTCTCTTGAAGTCAAATGCATTGGGGATTATGGGCCACAATATAAAACTTCTGGAAATCAGTATCATCTACTCCATTCTTGAAAACAAGTGCCATTCTACCTAGAACACAGGGCTTCCAGAAAAGTATAGAAGCAGAAACACTTTTTATGGACACTTATAGTTTGGGTTAAATATTCAAGAACACTTCCTTCAAAACTGATTAATTGACTGAAATCTTGCTTCAAAAAGAAACTAAGCAAATTCAGGGTGGAAAAGGTAAATCAAGTAACAGTATAGCAAAAAAGGTGAACTGGGCTTTTTACATGAAAAAAAATTTACTTGAAATGGTAGCACTATTAGCTACTGACAGACTATCCGGAGGTTGGAGACTTGCGGGCTTGAATTCCAGAACCTGTTTGTTTTTCCTTTACATTCATTTAAAGGAAATACATTCAAATTTTATGAGCTCATTGTATGAGCCATTGTGGACAAACAAAGGCCCTATTCTCATAGGAGGAGAGGGACCAGAACCCATTAAACAAGTAAAAATGAGGACTATTTGAGGGGGAAATAACACTGAGAAAGAGAACAGGGGTGCTGGCGGTGGCCACAGTGATGAGAGCCGCATAATGAGGTGACTTTTGAGCAGAGACATGTTGAAAGTGAGGAAATAAGAAGCCACCGGGTTATCTGAGGAACAAACTCCAGGCCAAAGAAAAGGAAAGGCCAGGCCGAGAGGTAGGAGTAGGCTGCAAGGAACACTGCCCTCCAATTGTGCCCCGACTTCCTATCTCCAACATTGTTTCTGCTTCAAAGCACACTGGGGGTTTTTTTAGCCTTAACTCCATTGTTTCAAATATATCCACCTTTATTCCCACAAATTCCTATACAAATACCTATGTAACTTGTAAATCTCACTAATGGAATAATTTTGTAAGAAAGAAAAAAGTGTTAAGCCCAGCTGGTGTGGCTCAGTGGTTGAGCATGGACCTATGAACCAGGAGGTCACTGTTCAATTCCCGGTGAGGGCACATGCCCGGGTTGCGGGCTCGATCTCCAGTGTGGGGCATGCAGGAGTCAGCTGCATCATTGATGTTTCTATCTCTCTCTCCCTTCCTCTTTGAAATCAATAAAAACATTAAAAAACGAGAAGGCCTACCAAAGCCCCTCGAAAGCAAACCAGTGCCCATTTCCTCACACGCAGCAGCCTCTGTCTGCGGAGCTGGTTCTCCTACCTGGACCGCTGGCCAGGGACAGGAGCCTCTGCTCCTTCAGCAGGCTGTAGTTCTTCATCAGACTTTCCGCTCTCGCCAGTTTGTCCTCCGCCAGTCTCTCACGCACACAAAGCTCACGTTCCTTCTCTTTAGAAAGGCATGGAATGAGAAAAAGATTGGCAAGTGGCTTTGAGTAGAAAACAGTTTACACGTGCGAATCTTCCATTTTCCCTAATCACTGAGACCGGCTTGCTGAGCAGCGATTAGTAATGCTCTGAGAAAGGTTTCTCACCGGGTTCCCAAGCCACCCTGACCATGCTAGTCTGTAGCACCTGTCGCTTTAGTGGAGTAGACAGACTTTCACCATCAAAAACTAACTTGCCCTAACCAGTCTGGCTCAGTGGACAGAGCGTCGGCCTGGGGACTGTAGGGTCCCAGGTTCAATTCCAGTCTAAGGGCCTATGCCTGGGTTGGGGGCTCGATCCCCACTGGGGGTGTGCAGGAGGCAGCCGACCAATGATTCTCTCTCATCATTGATGTTTCTATCTCTTTCTCCTTCTCCCTTCTTCTCTGAAATCAATAAAAATATATTTAAAAAAACAAAAACACAACAACTAACTAGTACCAAATCAGTGAATAGCCCTGAGTATTTATAAACCTAGAATATCCTGTACCCACATTATTGAATTGCCAGAGCATATTTAGTCCTACACACTGTAGGATTTTAGACCTGGACTGTGTTGGCTCAGCCACAGGAGTAATGGTTATTGTAGAAGTCAGCAAATCTTAAGATCTACCTTTGCAATGAAAAACTGTAATGTATGTATATGTTATGAAACAGAAAGAAAAAAGTAACAGCAAATGTAATGTACACATTAAAGTATACAAACTCTATAGCAAAGTATAAAGTTAAGCCCAACAATAGCAGAGAAAGAGGCAGCTCAACAGGAAGATGCCAGAAAGCGTGAGCTACATATTTTACAAAGCACAGTTTGGTTTCTCAAGTATTTATAAGAAGGTTCTCTTTCTTTCTTTTTTAAATAGTTTTTTTTATATGTTTTTATTTATTTCATTGAGGAAAGGAGAGGGAGAGAGAGATGGAAACATCAATGATGTGAGAGAATCATTGGTCGGCCGCCTCCTGCACTCCCCACATTGGGGATCGAGCCTGCACCCCAGGCATGTGCCCTAACCAGGGATTGAACCTGCCACCTTGGCATATTGGGATGACGCTCCAACCAACTGAGCTATCAGGCCAGGGCAAGAACGTTCTAATCTACTCATTTAAACAGTTTCCCACTCATCACGATCACCCTCCGATAGCTCTCCTTTGTTTCGCCCCCATCATTCAGACTTACGCTCCAGTCTTTCCTCTCTGGCTTTGAGGGCTCGCTCTCGCTCCTGCAACTGTATTTCCTTCAGTTTCAGCTCACTTAATACAGTGTTAGAATCCTGCAACTTTTCTGGTTCTCCAGATCGTCGCCCCCTTCTCTCAGGATTTCTCCTCTGCTCTTCTGCAACCAAGTCTGCTATCAAAGGGCTCTCCAGAATTTCTTCAACAGAAGGTCGATGGTAATCCTGGGGGGAAAATATTCAGTGTTACAGTCACATTTCGTAACAGAATACGCATCCCAAAAGAACGGCTACATTAAAAGGGTACATATTTCCAAGGCAAAAGAAAAACTCGGTTCTGGATGGGCCTTGACTATCTGGAAAAATAAGTTCACTTGTGGCTTTAATACATGAGGTTCTAGGTCCAAACAGTAATGCAGATTTTTACTTACCTCTGATCCCCCTTTAACCTAAAGGCTTCATCCCTGTGCAGGTGCTCAGTAGCATGGCCAGGGTCTGTGTTAGGGCATCTCTAAACTACAGGAAGCAGGATACTCCCTCTCAGCCCTTAAATCCCATTACTTCATCTGTATCCTCCTTTGTAATCCCACAGCATTTAACTTTACATCAGCCTGATCTCTTGGACATTTCCCTCGCCATCCCATGGCCAGATTTTTTCCACATAATCTCTTAGAGTGATTTCCCCTCCACTCTTCTTAGCTACCCCTACCCTCTCACTGCCCTAACCATCCCCCCCACCCATACACACACACACACCTATCTCTCAATTGGAGCTAGAGGCAGAGTAATTAAGTCTTATTGTGGCCCCTTCCACACCATCTGCCACGCTGAGGTAGGCAAGGACACGGGGAACTAAGGATCTGGATGCTTCATGCAATCTTTTCTTGCTATCGACCATCTGTTAGCATGGAGTGAGTGGGAGAAGACAGAGAAAGCACAGAGGGTAGGCCAGCAAGGACGTGCAATTTACCAAATTTATGTAAGTTTTCACTTGTGTAAACAAAGTAGATTTAGCTAAGGAAATACATTTAATGTTTCTTCAGTCTCATTGCTCTACGGGAGAGAACACATACCCCAAAACTTAATTGAAAGATAGAAACAGACAAAATAATCTTATAATCTTTACCTTTAAATTTAACATCCTTGTAATGATGTCATTCAATTCATCAGAGTAACGATATGGAATTCGCCTGAATTTGCCTTCTCGGATCTTCCCAGCTAATTCTTTCTGGTTGAAAGCTGTAAATGGAGGCCTGGAACAAAAAAATAATAATAATGTAAAAATAAAAATATATTAGGAAGCAAATCTTTTGCACAGTTTAAGCTCCAGTTTTTATTTATGTTTCTGCTTCTGGGATTTTCTTCCATAGCTAAGTTTCCCAATTTTGGTGCTACTGACATTTGGGGTCACATAGCTCTTTGTTGTGGGGGTGTCCTGAACATCATAGTATTTATTTGCACTACCACTGGCCTCCATCCACTAGATGCCAGTAGCTATCCTTGTTTGTCACAACCAAAAATGTCTTCAGACAATGCCAAATGTCCCCTGGGGGCAAAACTGCTTCACTCCCCCTGGTTGAGAATCACTGCTCTACAGAATAGCTTAGAAGAGAAAGAACTGGAGCTCTTTCTTGGTCTCCAAATTGCCAGAGCTACCCCCAGATCTTTGTTTATCTCTTCCATGGGCCTGACCTATCTGCTCTCCCCTTGAGCTGAGCATCAGTCTAACAAGGAAACATCTAACCAGGTTAGGAGTTTGAACAAGTCAACATCCAGCCTCAGGGGTTATATTATTAATTTCTAAATAATTTTTTTTTTACCTGTCCACCTACTTTAATTTTAACCCACGGTATGATTCTTTCAGATTTGAATACAAATGGATGGTCAAACAACTGAACCCAGTGAAAGGTGACAAACCCTGAGTATAAACCTCAGACTAGAAATCTGTCTTTAATATACTTACATTAATGCACACAACTCATACATCAAACAGCCCAGTGACCAGATATCCGATTTCTCATTGTAGGACATGCGACTCATCTGCTCCTTAAGGGGGGAAAGGGTAAGAAAGTATGAGGAATTAAAAGTTTATTTTGTTTTAAAATGTATACTTTGTCTTCAAATTTACAATGGAAAAAGGCAATGACCTTATCCTAATATACTTTGTCATATATAATTCATTCAATTCTTTTTCCTTCAGATGTTTATTGTTACTAGAGGTGAGACACTGACTATTCAAAGGTGAGTATGAGACCTCTACCCTGGTGACACTAATAATCTAGAAACTGCTTTGAAAGAACCAGAGAAAATTTCAGAATAACCAATGCATACATCTAGCCCACATTTAAATGGATGTAGACATAAATGGCTAAGTGAATTATTCATTTATATTTTTCCTTAGTCTACTGTATAAACCACACCAGCTAACATTCTCATTTCCTGTTTTAATTGTCTTTCTCACACTCTCAGGAGCAACAGAGGGCACAGAGGCAAGTGCCAAACTCTTCAGGAGGCTCCCTAGTGCTTTAAGTCCAACAGGTTGAGTCTGATACCATTTCCTGGCAATGCCTCAGAGAAGGCTGAGCAGATCTAATTACAAGGGCAGGAGGGAAAAGGAACAAAAGAATCACGTAGGTTTCAAATTTTCCAAGAACCACTTCTGTATAATTTTCCTTTATGTTAAAGGCTTTCTATTTGGAATTTGATCCAGTGAGAAAATGACACTGTTCTGGCCATGTCTAATATTAATGAAAAACAAAATCACTAATACAAAGTTTTATACTGTAGTCAGACTGGTTAACATAACTAAAAGAGATTTAGAAAAGCCCGGAAATGTTTATGACTGCTAAAACAATTAACCCCTCTGCACCTTTGTATGCTCAGATTCCAGATACAACCCCCTGGTGTTATCACTTTTTGGTTTAAGCTCTTCAAGAGCCATCAGGCAAAATCCAGAGAGCCATAAACGGTTCATAGCCTTTGACCCAACCCAGCAATTTCATTTTGAGAGCTATCTGCCAAGGAAATGACCAACAAGGAAGAAAGAATAATTCATATGCATAGCAGTGCTCCTTAGAATGGTGAGAAATTTTGGAAACAAAATATTATCCAGCAATCAAGGAAATAAATAAGTAGGTAGACTCAGCAGCTCCCTTGTAGGAAAAGTCAACAAAAAAAGAACAAATACCAACAGTTAACACTGTAAAAACATGTTATCTGAAGTGAGTGAGGCTCTGAGCCCCGAATCTCCAGGCACAAGAATCATCCAGAGAGTCTGTTAAAAGGCAGAGTCCAAATTGAAAAGTAGGAGAAAAACAGAGCAAGGACCTGTCCCGAGATCCGAACTCACTGGACTGGGGCTTGGTCCAGGATTCTGCATTTGAAAAAGCACACCAAAGGAGGCCAAGCTGGTGTACAGGACCTACAGCACTTTGGGAAACACAGCTCTTGAGGCCAGAGACAAAACCTGTTTCATCTTTGTAATTTAGCATATGGTAGTCCTTTAATAAAAGCCTGACTTGAATTGCTGATATAGTTGAGTTTAATGGTGTGGTGGTCCATTTGGAAAATATATAAATTAAAAATGAAACAATGTTAATTTTTGGTTATTGGATATTACTAAACATACAATCAAAACAACTCACTTTCCCTGCATTTGAATGCTTAGCATTAAGAGGTTTAAAAAGTATCTAAATTCTGAAATACTTACGGGAGACATGTAATAAGGAGTGCCAACAAATGTTTTTGCAAAACTGGTATCATGGTTTAATATTCTAGCTAGCCCAAAGTCTCCAAGCTTAACGTTTTGCTTGCCATCCAGGAAAACATTAGCTGGTTTCAGATCCCGATGGAGCACCGTATGACCACCATCACTTCGTCTGTGACATTCCTTTAGGGCCAGAGTCAACTGAGCCATCACTCGAAGAACAAACTCTTCCTCCAAGTATTGTCTGAAATCAAAGCAGTTACACAGCATATAACTTCTGAATAAAACCATTACAAAGAGGGGATGATGAATTATCTAGTGTACAAATAGGGAAATAAATATCATATTTTGATATGAAATATGGGTGTTGATTCACAAGGGATTTCCTAAAGTTCTGTAGACCCACCAAATACTAGAACACTCTTCCACATCACTAAGTACTTCGTCCCTGATCCTAAAACAGAATGCGAAACTGGGCCCACTTTCACCTTACATTGAAAAGAATCACTTACCTTTCCTTGGTTCCCTTTGTAATTATACTAGCCAGGTCCCCTCCTTCGCAATATTCCATTACAATGTACAGCGTTGTGTTGGTTCGGTCAATAATGCGATCATAGTAACGGACGATGTTTGGATGCTTCAGTTCACGAAGCAAATTCACTTCAGAAACAAGCATTTGTTTCTCAGCTTCTGTCATGGAGCCATAGTCAAGTTCTTTCCAAACTAATATCTGAAATAAGAATTCCCAAGGTATGAATGAACGCAAAAATGAAGATTGAGAGCTCCATGACCACCATCCCTTTGTCTGCGACATTCCTTTAGGGCCAGTCATCACTCACTACTTTTCTATTAAATAGATCATATAGTCATTATCCTCTGATTTAGTTCAATGAACTTAAGGACCCCTGAATTTAACTCCATAACCGTCCTCTAATTTTTAAGCAGAAAAGAATGCAAGGGGAGAGAGGGAGATGAGGCACACTAGGCTTCCTCCAACCCCCTCCCCTCGGTCCCTTTGTGGGAGGCTGGCAATGGTGCTTTGGTCAAAGGTGGGGCAGAGGCAGTCCAAGTCCCTGACCATTCCAACCAGGCAAGCTTTTCCAGGGGAAAGACCTGAGGTCCTCCCTCCATCCGCAGCCAGGCAGCTTCCTCTCCATTGTTTCTTTCTGAATAAAGTCTCCCTACACACACAGGAGAACTATGAAACCAAAAATCCGATTAAAGGGTATCTTAAATGAGCTCGGACTGCCGGGCAGAAAGCTCCAGGTTCTTCTCGTGGCCCAGAGTTCTACTCTTCTCTAAACAGCCCAGGAGCCCCACGGGGTAGCTGGTTTGGTTGGAGCATCCTCCCAGACACCAAGGTTCAAGGTTGAGGTTTGATCATCGGTCAGGGCACATACAAGAAGCAACCAATAAATGCATAAATAAGTGAAACAAATCAATGTTTCTCTTTCTTCCTCAAATCAACCACTCAAGCAATCAATAATTTTAAATTTCAAAAATAAAATAATAAAGATAGTTCAGGAGTCACCAGTGAAAGGCCCTTAGCAGGTCGAAGCAGAAAAGGAAAAAAAAAAAAACAGGAAGGAAATGGAAGAGAAAGCGAAACAGAAAGGAACATATCCCTTGCGAGACCCAGTACAAACACAGATCGCCACCAGCTGGCGAGGCCGCTGCAGGGACCGGACTCGGAAGGGGGCCCGCGCTCACCTTGCCGTCGCTCTTCCTCCGGATCTTCTGGCAGCGGCCATAGGAGCCGGTGCCAATGGTGTGCAGCACCTCGTAGTCCTCCGCCCGGGTCGGCATGGCAGGGCCCGCCGGGGACTCCTGCAGATCGCGCCGCAGCCGCGGAACTGGAGCCACCGTCTCCAAAGCGTCTCCAAGTCACCCTGCCGGCCGCCACAGCCCGCTGCTCAGTTTAACCGTCCCGGGCCCTGACCTCGTAGTCTATTGGCCCGCAGCGAGGCGGCTTCGCCTCTTTGATTGGCTAAGAGGAACACAACACCCTAGGCATCTTGGGAAGGCGTATCCATAGGCAACCGCGTCGGCGTCGGTATCGGCGTCTGCTTTCTACCCCTAGGGAGGAAGAGGCGGAGCTAAATCAAAGGGAGGGCGGGGGATAGAAAGTGGCGTCGGGCAGGTCTCAGATACTCTTGGCCCTCGGGCCGAAGTCGTCAAGGTAACCGAAGTAACCGAAGTCCAGAGACCTCGCCCCAGACTTCTTTGCACCCTCCCTCAACCAACTGCCGCCTGACCTTTGCACTGTGAGCCCTCTCTCAGGTTCCAGGACCCGGAGCCTGGGCGGGATCAGCCCAAGACTTAGTGAGAGCTGAGTACAGAGGTGAAAAGTACAGTCCCGACCTGAAGAAGGCACTTGTGAGTGCCGACTATGATGCGGGACTGTGCCCAGCACTTGACATGTATGGTCTCGTTTATTCCTCAACACAAACCTATAAAGCAGGAATTAGTTTAATTGGAAACGGAAGCAAAATTATTTGCTTTAGATCCAACAGCCAGAAATAGAAAAATCAATGCAAAAAGAGTAGATACTCATAGTAACGATTTCAAGTTTACACATGACTTCGTGCAGAGTGCTGTTATCATAAAGAGAATATATATATTTTATCGATTTTAGAGAGAGGAAGGGAGAAGGAGAGGGAGAGGGAGAGGGAGAGAACCATTGATCGGCGTCCTCCTGCACACTCCCTACTGGGATCGAGCCCACAACCTGGGCAGGAATTGAACTGTGACCTCTTGGTTCATTGTTCAAAGCTCAACCACTGAGCCAGGCTGGCTGGGCAAGAGAATATATTTTTGAAAACCAAATGTAGAGGCCTGTTGAACATGCAGAGGACATGTGCAAACTCTCAGGGTAGAATATGGAAGTCTCTGATGGTTTGGAATACCCAGGAAAATATGGTGGCTCTAAGGCAGAGATGGTCAGGTTTACCTTTAAGCCGCCTACCAAAAAACAACAACAACAAAAGCAATCAAATAGATTATTTGAGGTGCTGAACACATAATTAACTGATAATACTTCATTGAATGTAGCCTCTTCTGGGGACACACAAAAAGCAACATTTTCAGCTAACCCAGGCAGATGAGACAGTCCCACTTTTACCTGGGAGAGGGAAGCTGGAGGCCTCCATCAGATGTGGATGGAGAAATCTGCGCTAATAATTTGGCAATGCAGAAATAGATCAATTTTCTTTAAATATCTCTTCAACATGGAATTGAAAGGAACTTGATTTTCTATTAATAAGAATTACAAATATCTTTATGTTTAAAAAAAGACATTTATTACATGCACTGAATATAACATAATTGAATTGGAATTGCCAGCCAGGAGAATTTTTGAAGTCACATTCAAGGGCACTGTCTTACCTCAAGAGAATAGGACCATTTAGGTTTGGAAGTTATGTAAGGAGCTACTAGTAGCTGCATTAATTGACATTATATTTTTTATTTTAGTACCTCTTAAAAATTGACATCCACAGAGCTCTTTGGCTTGCCTGCCCAAAATCCAGTCCTATACTTTATTTCTGGCTACTCTTAAGCTCTTGTTCTTTGCCCCAATTCCCCAAACCTGGCAGACTCCGTCCACCACCTTTGCACCTGTTATTCCATTTGTCTGGAATACTGTCTACCCAGCCCCCTTACCCACTCCCCCACCCAGTATCATGTCTGTCTAACGGACACAACTTGTCTTTCAAGATTCAGTGCCAAGCCCTAGCCGGTTTTGCTCAGTGGATAGAGCATTGGCCTGCGGACTGAAGGGTCCCGGGTTTGACTCCGGCCAAGGGCACATGCCCAGGTTGTGGGCTTGATCCCCAATGAGGGGCATGCAGGAGGCAGCCAATCAGTGATTCTCTCTCATCATTGATGTTTCCATCTCTCCCTCTCCCTTCCTCTATGAAATCAATAAAAAAATAAAAATAAAAGTTTCAGTGCCAACTTGTACTCTGGGAAGCCTCTTCTAGCTAGCACATTACAACACGCAACTTCTTTTTTTTAAAAAATCTTTTTTTTTTCTTTTTGTGCTTGTTTTTTTTTTTAATATATTTTATTGATTTTTTACAGAGAGGAAGGGAGAGAGATAGATAGTTAGAAACATCGATGAGAGAGAAACATCGATCAGCTGCCTCTTGCACATCTCCTACTGGGGATGTGCCCGCAACCCAGGTACATGCCCTTGACCGGAATCGAACCTGGGACCTTTCAGTCCGCAGGCCGACGCTCTATCCACTAAGCCAAACCGGTTTCGGCCAACATGCAACTTCTTCATCTACATTGTTCGCAGACCATTTTGTACATAAATCGACTCTTGTTATTTTTCATTATTTGTTTACATAGTAGCTCAAGTCTAAGCTTCTTGTATTCAGCATAAGTTCTCTAATAAAGGACACATGCAATAAATCTTTGTTAAATGAAAATATGAGAAGAAGCTTATTAATCATACATGGATTTAAAAGGAAATCCTCAAGTACTCATGTTTTAAATGTCTCCAGCCCTATGATAGAGACTAACTATTGGGGAAAAGGCCATCCCAGGAGTATGGAGAGTGGCTTCTAGGATCACATGTTCATTTAACAGATATTTATTAAGCACCTACTATAACCCAGGTATTATGATGGCATTGATACACAAGGTGTTCATTTAAAAAGAGACAATGGGGCCACAATGACAATGATAAAGAAAAGAGTGGCCTCAGCATGGCATGACAAACCCTAATGACTGGCCGTATCACTGGGTTACGCCATATCATTTATTTGGTGGGGGTGAGGGGCAAGACAGCCCAACAGAGACCACTAGACACCAGAGCAGAAAGAGACATTGGTGGCTGCGGAGCATGTAGGGGTTAATCAGAAATGCTTTTACAGGAAACACCCCTTCCCCATCCCTTACACACTCCTTCCTTCATATTCCGCCCATTCTTTAAGACTCAGCTCACTCCCAGTTTCTTCCCTAAAATTTTCCCTGGCTGCCTTCAACCCTCTGCGGTCTCCTAAGAGAGCAATTAACTGTGTTCTTTACTCATTTAGAATGTGCCATACACTAGTCTATATTACCAGCTTCTCCTTTATGTCTATCTTATCTGACCTATTAATTTTTAAACTCATCCTTCAACAAATAAAAATTGAGGTCCTGCCAGGTGCTGAAGATACCCCAGTGACGTGCAGTCCTGGGGCTGGAGGAGGTAGATGTACACAAGGTCACAGAGAGATCCAACCATTACAAATCGTGGTGAAAGTTAAGAAAAAAAAAACAAAGAACTGAGACAGAAACTGAGATGTTAACATCTAAACAGGACTAAGGGAAGATCAGCTCTATGAAGGTAGGGTCAAGGTTTGAACTTCTCCCTCACCACCCTCCCACACCCAGGGCCTAATTCACTGTCTTCACAATTGTTTTGCTAAATGTGCTCGTGTTGTCAGTTTTCATTTAAATCTGGTGAAATCTCAAATAGGTTATTTGCACGATGTCTATGCTTTCTGCTCACAAGTGCTCTACAGGTGTTCCCAGAGACGCCAACTCATTGTTAAAAGAAGCTACCTGAAGGACTAGTGGGCATCTCCAACTTAGCATGTCCAAAATCAAACTCCTGGGCTTTGTTCAAAATTTGTTCTACTGTCTTCTTCGTCTTAAGTAACTAATGCATGTGATTTTGTTGTTTGTCTTGTTCACTGCAGTATCTCCAGCACCTAAAATATGCCTGGAACATAGTAGGCACTCAATTAACATTTGTACATTGAATAGATGAACAAATGAATGAAGGAATGAACAAGCAAAGTCATAGCTCATTGCCCTCAGCTTCTCTTCTTGTGTTACATGAAAGACCCACTAGAGGGCTGTAAATAACTTCATAGTAAATGAGGAGTCGGTACATCCGCACCAGTCCACCTGCAGAGGCCTGTCCTTATAGGAAACTTCAAGATTTTCATATCAAGCATTTCGAATCTCAGATAAGACATTTTGAGCATCTTGGAGTAATTTGAAATCAGGAATTGTGAAATTCCTTTAAAATACTTAAAAAGGTTGCTAGAAAGGAAAAAGGAGAGATTCTTTGTTTATAGAAATCAGATGCTAAATGATGTTAAAGAAAGGTGCATGAATGACATAATAGGTGCTCAATAAATAACCAAATTCTAGAATAAAGAATGAGGGGCTGTGGAGACTGGCCCTAATAGGGACACCCCAATTGATAGAAACAGAAAGGCAATATGTGAACTAAGAGACAGCTTTGGATTTAATGGCAGGCAGCTGACGGGATAATATATGAGAAGAAATTTATCTGTGAAACCAAATAGTGTTTCATTCTGAGCTCCTCCACATTTTAAAGAGGGATAGTGTCACCCTGACCAGTTTGGCTCAGTGACTAGAGTGTGGACTGAAGAGTCCCAGGTTTAATTCCGGTCAGAGCACATCCCCAGTAGGGGGTGTGCAGGAGGCAGCTGATGGATGTTTCTCTCTCATGGATGTTTCTAACTCTCTATCCCTCTCCCTTCCTCTCTGTAAAAAATCAATAAAATATATTTTTTAAAAATAAAAAATAAAGAGGGATAGTGTCAAACTTGCCAAAGGTATAAGTTAGAGGATGGCTGACTTCTGCTCAAAATAAAAATAAACTTTCAGACAAAGAGAGCCATTCACAAATTTTATATGGTTTTTCATTATATTTGTAAATTCGGGATATTTGTTGTCTCTAAGAATATTGATAACATAAATTGCTTAAGAAGAATGTTAAAAGTAATCACAGATGCTGACTCCATAATATGTTTCTAAGGGACTATAGGAGCTTTCAGAGAATATTTTCCCTTTCGCACAATAAAATCATAGGAGTAGTGGGTGCGAGGTCTAGGAACCCAGGCTCATTTAGCTCTGTTTTCATGAGCTGTGCGACCTAAGGAATCCACTCGACCTCTCTGGGCCCTATAAAATGAGAGTGTTAAATTAGATAACCTTAAAGGAACCTTCCAGCTCTACATGTTATGAATCTTTTATCTCCTCTTCCTGAAAATT